CTGAATTTTAAAAATATTTCCAGAACCTTTCTGGGAGAAATTAAAGAAGGCCCAAACAAATGGAGAGATATATTGTGTTTATGGGTTGGAAGTCTATATTGTTAAGATGTCATTTCTTCCCAAACTGATACCAGTCAGAATCCTAGCAGACTCTTGTGTAGAAATTGACAAGCAGATTAAATAATTCATATGGAAATGCAAAGGACCTAGATAGAATAAAGGAGCCAAAACAAATTTGAAGAACAAAAGTTGGAGAGCTACAGTATTGAAGATTTACTGTAAAACTACAGCCTATATAAAGTGTAGGATCAGTGGAAATAGAGATAAGTAGATTAATGAAACAGAATGGAGTCTAGACATAGACCCATACATACATAGACAACTGATTTTCAACAGAAGTATAAAATCAATTCAGTGAAGAAAGATGGTCTGTTTTTGTCTTCAAAATAAACTTTATTTCTTGCAGAGTCTGCAAAAACAACCTAAAAATTGATCATATGCCCCTATGTAAAGCACAAAAAAGAAAACAATTGTGGTTTGGGATGAGGCAAAGATTTCTTAACTCCAACATCAAAAAATCAATTCTCTAAGAATGTATGGGAAGTGGGAAAAAATAGTTGGCATTTCTAGATAATAGATTGAATTTGCATTAGTTTGAATCTTCTCAGCAATGTGATTTTTCTCCAGAAACACATGACATTCAAGTTATGGATGTATACTGGTGTAATTTGGGGAGTTGGTTGGGATTGCTATGGCAGAAGATTAATATTGCAAGGAAACTAAGGGAATTGATTTAGAAGCTCAAATGATCAACCCCAGTGTTCTTACTGGATAACAACAATAGCAATAAGAATATCAACAAATAAGATCCAAAGGGACATAGTACCCTGGGAGGAAATAAATACAGGAAGGAAGGGAATGGGGCATCTAAATTTTAACTTCAGTTGTCATGGAATATAAACACTAGAAACCTGGGAGTTTTAACTCCCTGAGGCCAAATAGTTTCAGTTGATGGTATGTCTCTGGGAATAATACAAGTACTTGACTAAGCTTTATAAAAATATTTTGCTCTGTTAATGGCCTTAAAATTTCACTAGTCATAATGAAATAAAAAAATTAGAGTAGAAATTTTTCTAAAAGTCAGTGATAAGCTCATTGTTTTTTATCTTGAAATTTAGTTTTAGGTTTTGATTGGTTGAATCAGAGGGACTATTGTTAGAATTAGGCACTATTGTTGAGCAAGGATTCCTTTCCCTTCCTACTATTTAAGCTATTTAAGCTCTTGGCTTAAATTTTATTCCTACTATTTAAGCTCTTGGCTTAAATTTTATTCCAATAGTTTTCTGTCTAACATTCCCTCTAAGTTGCACCAAAATATTTTTCAGTACACATATTGTTGAAGCCAAACTTGATTTTTTTCCCCCTTTGAGTATCTTCAAGGTACTCAGGAGGTTCCCCTTACATCACTCATTATTCTCCTAGAGCCAGAGGGTGAGCTGTAGACTTCTTGACTGCTGGAAAGCAATTCTAGGATCTCTCAGTGTTGCACAGGCACAGGACCAAATGGATAGCTATAAATTAATGATGAGCATGAGCCCATTGTAAAATCTTTGTGAATTTTGTAGGATAGCTGTTAAACCCAATCATTATTAAGAATAAAAGTATGAATATTTTCAATCAATGAATTATATTAGAATCAAATCTGTTATCTGTACTCTTGAGGTTCATTCCATCTAATGGATTTATATGGTATAATACTATATAACAGAGTGCTGTTCTGCATCTCTTCTCCATTCTGTGCTCGGTTGTGTCCCGTTGGTAGTTTAAAACCTGCTCTGGTAGGAGTATTTGCACCATGAACACTGGCCAAACCTGTAAATCAAGACCTTTTCCCCCAGGGAGAGCCAGCTGTTAAACTCTACAGGGATTTAATAGTCTCTCTGGCTTCTTCTCATTTTATCTCAAAGACCTTAAGAAAAAACTTAAATGAAGGCCCTAGTTCCTTCCGGTAAGCCCCTCTCTTATAAGAATGTAGCCTTATCACTACATTCTTCTTTTCCGTTTGTTAGTATGTTTTTGTTATGTACTTCTCTACCATCATGGGCCCCAGGTGATGGCTTTTTCTCTCCCTTGCTAGCTCTTCCTAGAGTTGAATCTCATTTTGACCCCTGATTATGGACCAAATTCTTCTCTCCCTTTCTAGCACTGCTGCAGGAAGAATAAGATATGAAACAGGATGACATAGTTAATAGATAATATTGCCAGAGTTTCAGTCACTTTTACCATTGGACACTTTGAGTTTATCGGGATTTTGTATATTTGGCAAAATATTAGGTTAAATATTCAGCATAAAAGTGTAAGTATTCATTAACTGCATTTTTAGGGTTAGCCATTCTTCTATATGATATCTTCAACAGAACACAGTTTTATTTTTCTTGATGAAAATTTTATAAAAGGGAATCTGTTTGCCTTCACAAGTTTTTTTAAAAAATATTTTGTGTTATTTTTTTAATGTATCTTTGTTTATTTATTTTTATGTAGTGTTTTAAGTAAATGACCCCTTGACTGTTAGCAATGCTCTTGGTTTCAAGACATAGAAAAGTGAAGAGAAAAGGTAGCTATTGCTACTGATGTCAGTAGTTTAATGATGATAAGCAAAAATCCTGGAGATCATCTTGGCCTTTCATTGTGATCAAATGATGACTGCTGCAGACCCAGTCATGCCACCTGCATTTACAGCAAAAAGAGACAAGATAGGAGTCTAGAGTTGTGCCTATGTGTGTCTCGAATTCATCTGAATGCAAAGAGTTTGGGAAACTGGATATTTGCTTTAACTAATATTTAATAATATTACATTTTATAAGAAAGGGAGACAAGAGAGCAGGGATTGGGGTTAGGTATTGGATGTGCCTGCAGTGAAATTCCATGAAGTATACAATAGCATCTTTCCTACATATCTAAACATAATGTATTGAGACAATTTAAAAGATGAGAATATAACTAATGTGTATGATATAATTCTTTGAAGAAATTCATTAAACTTTTTTCAGTCTTTGTGAGGGCCTGATGGAAAACTAGTTTTTACTTACTGAAAGGTATTTGAATTTAGAAACTGGTCTCTGTGCTTTCACATAAACTTTTGAGGTATAGGTAAGAGTTACTCCTGATGTGACAAATTAGGAAATGAAGCAGTTTCCTCCAGATCATAGAATCTAAAAAACATGCGTAAGGCAAGTTTGCACCTAACCTTTTGTCTATGGAAATTTCAGTTTTGCATAAATTAAAATGAATTAGAATTTTATGGAAAGAATGACATTTTGACAGTGAGGAAACTTAAGGACACACACATGTGTTATGTGTCACTTACCTGTGTATTATGTTTCATACCAATTTGATGGAGCAGCTAGAACTCTCTAGATTTTGAGTAATATACTGGCATAATAACAGATAACATTTGATGAGCGCTTACTACATGCACTCATCAAATGCATTTTACCTATGCTAATCACTTAATTATCATAAAACCCATATGAGATAAGTATTATCATTATCATGTATAAACAGAAAAACAATCACAGAGTGTCTAAACTACACATCCAGCCTACTAAGTGGTAGATTTAGGATTGAGCCCACATCCTTTACCCTGAGACAATGCTGTTAACCAGTGCACCTCAGACCCTCTCACAGAACTCATACAAGAGAAAATGAGAAGGATTTTTCATTTTCTTACCTAGTTCCAACCAATCTTGGAAGCATTCCCCGTTTATTGAAATAGAAATTTGAATAGAATGTGTTACAGAATTTTATCAATAAAACAAATACTGAAAGCATAATTTTGGAAGGCAGTGCATATAGGGGCTTTAAGAATCCCAAATACAAATCTTGCAAGCAAAACTGATAATCGTTTAATAACCCCTTTTCAGCTCATGATAACTGGTTATGTCCTCATAATTTTAAGAAGTACCATAGAATATTGATCTAGAAATTGAAATAAGAATGCTGCAAATGAGTGTGTGAAAATAATCCCACACAGATGGAAATTATACAGCTCAGAACTTTGTGATGAGTCACGCTCTTGGAAGACTGTTCTATTCTTCCCAGAGTCTATCAACAGAGGGAGATACAACGTGATGTAGTTTTCATTTTTCAGCTTTAACATCTGCTGCATGGCAGCCCATTTATATCCCTATCTAACGAAACATCTATAAATATTGGTAAAGATTTCCTTTTTACTTTTTTTTTTCCAGACTGTTTATCTCTGTATTTATTCTATTAGCCTCACAGTATCTCTGGATGATCTGAAACTCAGAATTTTGTTAGTATAGCTTATTAGGATCCTACCAAAAGCCAATAGGCAATTCTGTCATAAGGTCAATGTGGTGTGTTCTTGGAAGTGAAAGTATCTGGCTGCTGAAATTCTTCTCTCTCACTTTCTGTCTTATCCATGTACTTCTGGCTCTTTACCAGCAGTGAATACCATGATTTAAATGAGTGTTTCAGAAATCCATTTTTTAAAAAATTATGTTCTTTTATTTCATGAAACATGTATGAAAGTGAAGAGAAAATTCACAAATAATTGGTTTAGTGTTAAATTTTTAAAAACTTATAAAGAAAGTAATAAACCCAATGAGTTGGCAACAGAAGTGTCAGCACAACCAGATTTGAGATTTCAGCAAAGTGAATTATTAAACAGTAAAAAAATTTATCTGCTGCCTGTGTAGCATTTTAATTGTAATAGAAGAAGTTTCGGGAATTAAAAGCTGACACTAAAAAAGCAGACTTAGATATTTGGATAGAGAACCCTGCATAAGTCTGTATACTCATAGCAACAGATTGTTTTATTATTTGTTTGTGTAATTGGCATCATCTGCTATTCAGAATCTTGGAATAATAGAATCATTTGGGAGGGACTGTGGAGTACATTACTGGAACTGAGTTGGCAATGTTCACATACTGGTTTGTTTGCTAGTTTGGAATCTGTATTTGTTGCTTTTCTTTAGGTGGGACTCTTCCCTGGACATTGTGTTGAGTTAATTAACCAGAAAGTTCCCCCGTCGGTGACCAATTCAGTGCCAAAACCAGGTGAGTACACATTTTCATTAGTTTGGTATGACCAGCTGCTCACAGGTACAGATGTTCGCTTCTAGTCAAGTACATGGCTTGTTTGGCTGTTCTTCTCATTTATTTATATAATATGTATTCTTAATTTTACATGATTTTAATTTTAAACACTGCCTAATTTCTGTTGCTCATTTTACAAAGTTGTTTATGTATATTCTAATGTTTAGACAATTTTAAAGAATGTGTGTTCCACTAAGCTTTATCATTACTTGCTTTTATGGTTACTATAGGAGGAATATACTATATACTATAGGAGGAATGCAGCTTATTAATGAATAAAGTGATTTTAAAAATAAGTTTAAAGATCTAACATGGGCATCACGGGCTTGGTGTGATCAATTGGAAGATAACAGTTGAAGGGCATGTATATTTTATCAGTGCCTGTGAACATAAACACTGTTTGAAGCAGCATTTTTTATTACTTATATAATTTATAGTGCTATATAAATATGTGGAATAAATTTAAAATAAACAAAGCAGTGTTTCAGGGGATTAAAAAAAGCAGCAAGAAAATTGGGATTTTTGTATGTGTTGAGATGATTTAATCTGGGCAAAATTCTGTAGAGTATCTTGTCTGGAAGTGTTCAATCCAATGTAAATTTTTAAAAAGAAAATAAAAATAGACTCAAAGATTTTAGACCAAAGAAGTAATTGAGTTTATTTTTCCTAGTTATATTACATTTCTTCTGTCCTTTCTGGTGAAAGGAGAAGATTTCTAAGCCTCAGAATTTAATTGAACTGCTTAAAGTATCTTCAGAGTTTTGTACAGGCCTGTATGTAAGGGGAATTACAGGGGAAAAGTTCATTCTTTCCTTATTTTGTATTTTCTCATTTCTGCTTACAAATCATAAATTTGTCAGTCTTTGTAAAGTATTTAAGTAAAGGTGAAGGGAAGTAACTCCTTTCAAAGCTTATTTCTTCATTGAAGATTAGGGAGTCATTGTTCCAATTTCTCTTATAGGAATTTATAGGCATATTAACTTTATTGCTTACTAAAGAAAACACTTCAAAATAGTGTTCTCTGCACTTCTACTTGACCCAGGATTCTCATTTGTTTTCAAGGCAATTTTATTTTGCTTTGGTATATTTATTAAAAAGACTGTGCATATTGCTCAGTAAACATTTGTTAGTAATTGTGATGAGTGTGAGTTTCTTTTTTTAAAATATGGCACTAATCACTTAAAAAAATAACAATTTGGGGAAATATAATTCACATACCATGCAATTCACTCTTTTAAAGAGTATAATTCAGTGTTTTTTGGTATATTTACATAATTGTACAACTATTATTACAGTTAATTTTAGAACATCTTATTACTCCAAGAAGAAATCCTGTATCCATTAGAGACACTTCTTTCCCATTCCTTTCTTCCCTCACAGCCCAAGAAACCACTAATTTACTTTCAGTCTTTATAGCTTTCCCTCTTTTGGATTTTTTTTAAAGGTAGAATATACAAAATATGGTTTTCTGTGTCTGGCTCAAAAGACCACTTAGCGGGGCTGGGGATATAGCTCAGTTGGTAGAGTACTTGCCTCACATGCATGAGGCCCTGGGTTCAATCCCCAGTACCAAAAAAATTATTGAGTTGTGTTTTTTGTCTGGTCCAGGTACAAGTCAGTTATCAGTTAATAGTGATTTATAAGTATTTTCTCCCATTTTTGGGATCATCTTTCACTTTATTTTTTTAAGTTATTTATTTGTTTTAATTAGGTATATATGACAGCAGAATGCATTTTGATTCATTGTAAACAATTGCAGCACAACTTTTCATTTCTCTGGTTGTATACGATGTAGGTCGCACCATATGTGCAGCCATACATGTACCTAGGGTAATAATGTCCATCTCATTCCACCATCTTTCCTACCCCATACCCCCTTCTCTCCCTCCCCTTTGCTCAAAGTTCTTCTATCTCCCCCCCCCCCATTATGGATCACCACCCACTTATCAGAACATTCAGCCTTTGGTTTTGGGGGGATTGGGTTACTTCGCTTACCATGATATTCTTCAACTCCATTCATTTACCTGCAGATGCCATAATTTTATTCTCTTTTAATGCTGAGTAATAGTTTATTGTGTATATATACCACAGTTTCTTTATCCATTCTTCTGTTGAAGGACATCTAGGTTGGTTCCACAGTTTAGCTATTGTGAATTGAACTGCTGTAAACATTGATGTGGGTGCTTTACTATAGTATGCTGATTTTAAGTCCTTTAGGTTAGACCAAGGAGTAGGATAACTGGATCAGATGGTGGTTCCATTGCAAGTTTTCTAAGGAATCTCCATACGGCTTTCCAGAGAGGTTCCTCAAATTTGCAATCCCACCAGCAATGTATGAGTGTGCCTTTCCCCCCACACCCTCATTTATTGTTGTTTGTATTCTTGATAACTGCCATTCTGACTAGAGTGAGATGAAATCTTAAGAGAAGTTTTGATTTGCATTTCACCTTTCAATTTCTTGATGGTATCTATTGAAGCATAAAAGTTTGAAGCATAAAAGCATAAAGTCCAGTTTAATTTTTCTTTTTTTAAATATTTTGTATTTTTTTTAAAGTTTTTGAATAACCTAGTGCCATGAAGATTAACTTTCATAGTTTCTTCTGAGAGGTTTATGGTTTTAGATTTTCAATGTTAAGTCTGTGATCTATTTTTTGGAATTAATTGTCATATATGGTGTGAGGCAGAGATGCAACGTCATGTGGATTGTTCCAACACTGCTTATTGATTGTTCATTCCCCACTGAATTGTCTTTCCACCCTTGTAGAAAATCAGTTGACCTTAAGTACATGACTTTATTTCTGGACTTTCAGTTCTGTTCCATTGATCTGTATGTCTTATGCCAAGAACTACCCTATATTGATTGCTGTGGCTTTGCAGTAAGTTTCGCAATTAAGAAATGTTAAGTTCTGGAGCTGGGGTTGTGGCTTAGCGGTAGAGCGCTCACCTTGCATGTGTGGGACCCTGGGTTTGATCCTCAGCACCACATACAAAAATAAACAAGTGAAATAAAGGTGTTATGTCCAACTACAAATAAAAAAAAAAAAAGAAGTGTTAAGTTCTAATTGATTCTTCTTTACAAGGGTTGATTTTTTTTTCTGGATCCCTTGCAGTTGTATATGAATTTTAGAATCAGCTTTTCAAATTCTGCAAAGATAACTGGAATTCTGATAGGAATTTTATTGAATCTGTAGATCAATTTGTGAAGTTTTATCATTTTAATATTTAGTCTTCCAATCCCTGAACATAGACTGTTTTTCTTTTTATTTAGAGAGTGTTAATATCTTTCAGTGTTTTATAGTTTTCAGAGTATTAGATATAGTATATCTTTTATTGAATTTATTTTTAAATATTTTTGATGCTCTTGTAAATGGAATTGTTTTTAATTTTATTTACTTATTGTTCTTTGCAGATGCAGAGAAATGCAGTTTTTTTTATCCTGAAACCTTGCTGAACTGCTTATTAGTTCTATTCGTTATTTAGTGGATTCCTTGGGATTTTCTTTATACAGAATCATGTCATCTATGAATAGCAATCTTTTTACTTCTTTCATTCCATTCTGAATGTCTTGTATGTATGTATGTATGTATGTATGTATTTCCTCCTGGTTTCCCTTGCGAGAATCTCTAATACAATGTTGAACAGAAGCCTCAGGTGCCAGCAATCTTAGTGTGTGCCTGATCTTAGTGTGTGCCTGATCTTAGAGGAAAGTATCTAGTCCCTCACCATTGAGTAAGGTGTTTATGGATACTCTTTTTTTTTTTTCAGACTGAGAAGTTACCTTCTATTTCTAGTTTGTTGAGTGTTGTTTTAAGAACAGTGTTGGATTTTTTTCAAAAGCAATCTTCTTATTGAAATCATCCTAGGTTTTTTATGGTTACTTTTTGATGCTACTAAAATTTGACATCAAATTTTTTTTGTGATTTCTTGTGCATTGTTTTAATCCATCTTCCCCTTGGTATAAGTTCATTAGTCATTACATATCATCTTTGACATCTTTTACTCAGAAATGTCCTATAAACTGAGTTTTTAAAACATAGAGTAAATTTTAATGACAATATTAAACTATTAGGAGCTGGGGTTTTGGCTCAGTTGTAGAGTGCTTGCCTAGCATCTGCAAGGCACTGAGTTCAATTCTCAGCACTACATATAAATAAATTAAATAAAGGTCCATTGACAATTTTAAAAATATTGAAAAAAAATTTACTGTTACCAAATACTTTTTCTTATTTTGAATGGGGAATTGAGACATATAATAATAACCTCCAGAAGCTTTACATTGGGAGATAAGTCTCCCAATGTTATTGATAATATTAGAAAGTTATTGATAATATTAGAAAGTAGGTTTGAATTTGAAGACCTACAAGTCATCATTAATTCTAAGTTAGCAATTAGTAAAAACAAGTACTCCTTCAAAAGCTAATGTTTTATTTTTTTTGTGAACAGTATTGTAGAGTTGGCATAGGGAAATGTGCATTCTTAATCATTTTGAAAAGCATGATGTAAATTCAATCAGCCTTGGGCTTGTTTCACACTTTAAAACTGTCTTTGCCTACAGTATAAACAACTTGAATGTCCTATTTATTTTTAACATTGCCATCTGTCACTGCTAGATGCCAAATCTAGAAGATGCAGCTATAGTTTGAGACTGAAAACTTAAAGCTCCCCATACTATTACACAACAAGGGTAATAGAAAAAATTTTCCTTTTAAAGCTGTTCTTTATGTTCTCAATATGTTCAATTATTTGTGTTCATAAATAAAATTTGAGTCACCATGTCCTGACCAAGATAGCAAGTATCCGTGGTGCCTTAAGAATAAAGGTGAGAGAAAGAGAAGAGGAAAGAAAAGCAGAGGAAAGGTAGCAGCTCATCATAAGAAATTGGCATTTTATTCAGTTACCTTAGGGCATGGTAGGAGAATGTAAGGTTGAGGTTATGGTAGAAGAATGTGAAGTTGAGGAAG